TCCTGGCGGGGCTCACCTGCAGTGTTGCTGCTCCCGACCTTGAGCCAGGGAGATTACTCTCCGGATGACAGAAGGTGCTAGGCAGGTGCCAACAGGTGCTCAGGTGCCAGGGAGGTGCCAACAAGTTCTCAAGGTGCCAGCAGGTGGCAACTGGTGGCAACTGGTGCCAGCAGGTGCCAACAGGTGGCAGCAGGTGCCAACAGGTGGCAACTGGTGCCAGCAGGTGCCAACAGGTGGCAACTGGTGCCAGGCAGATGCCAACAGGTGCTAGGCAGATATGTGCCTTCACTATATTTATTACAGGAAAGTTAAGTGTATCTTTAACAAAGGCTGTATAAAATCTACATTTGAAACTGTATTGAGTGTACAGTTATTAACCGTGTGTATGTGCGGGAGACAGCTGAAAACATAACACAAGTAGAGAACCAGGAACACGCGATAACCTAAAGACAATATTAAGAAATAAACTGTCCAATTACAAGAGTCTGTAGATAGTCGCCCCGGCAGCCTTGGCGCATGTGGGACGGAGCGCCGCCAAGGAGAATCTGGGATGGTGGTAGTTTCCAGGTGTGGTAGTGGTGGTGGTGGTGGTGGTAGTGGTGGTGGTGGTGGTGGTGGTGGTGGTGCTAGTGGTGGTGGTGGTGGTGGTAGTGGTGGTAGTGGTGCTAGTGGTGGTGGTGGTGGTGGTAGTGGTGGTAGTGGTGCTAGTGGTGGTGGTGGGTCCAGGAGGGTGTGGCCAGCATCCAAGGAGACGTAGGCGATCAGCGGTCCACCTGGAGGCCAGATTAAGTGGTTCAAGGAAGACCAGATCACTCCCTACGGTACACCACACTATCTCTGGTACTCTACACTCCCTACGGTAATCTATGCTCACTTTTCCAACGTCACACCGGGAACCGTTTGTGTGTGTGTGTGCGTGTGTGTGTGTGTGTGTGTGTGTGTGTGTGTGTGTGTGTGTGTGTGTGTGTGTGTGTGTGTGTGTGTGTGTGTGTGTGTGTGTGTGTGTGTGTGTGTGCGTGCGCGCGTGCGTGCTAGATAAATATATGTAGCAGACAAAATAGAGGAAAAATAGATTGGTTAGAAAGGCGGGGTCCAAGAGCTTATAGCTCGATTCTGCAGATACAAATAATAAATACATAAACAGTAGAAAAACACACACACACTTCAAGGTAATCGAGTGACTTCCAACACGAGACTTAATGACCAATTAAGCCCACATTACCTCTAATACAAAAGCTTTCTAAACCAACTTACTAAGTTCAGCAACAAGCCTAACTACCCTACTCATAACACCATTATAATAATTGATTAACAAAAAATAATTTCCTTCATCTGAAACCCTAAGTTTTTTTTTATTAATTAACATAATTTACAATTAGAATCAAATTATTTATCTATGTTATCAACGCTTGCATAGTTGTCTATGTCTATGGCTCACACCATAGTTCAATCCCCGGGAAGGACAGAAACGGTTGGGCACGTTTCCTTGCACAAGATGCCTCTGTTCACCTAACAGCATATAGGTACGAGAGTTAGGCAGCTGTTGTGGGTTGCATCGTGGGGGTTAGTCCGTTAGTTAGCCTACGGAGACATCTATAAGCCAATGAATGTATTCTCTCCTCTTGTCACTAAGTCTATGGTATACCATGTACATAATTTTGGATATAAATATGTACTGTGTATATAACCATGTACATAATAAATATTTTAATGTTCCTGATATTTTGTAAACCTAGCCTAACAAAGCCTATTGTATTATATATAAATAAAGATAAATAATTATTAGTATTTTTATACAAATATTATTTCCTTTCAGTAGCCAACCCACATTACATTTTCTACATCTGCAGCATGGAATGACTACTTTAATAGCTTCCAAATGCATGTACAAAAACTTGAGAGTAAAGGTCAGAACATAATAATAATATTCACCATATTCCTCTGTGGTCGTGAGTAATACTCCAGACAGGAAATAGAGAGAAGGAGCCTTCGGGAGAAGTATCTCAGGTTATCTACACTTCCCACACTCAATTACCCCCTCAAGTGGCTGCTGAGAATACCGCCCCCACAGGGGGGAGAGGCTTGACTAATCTCACAACCCAACTTGAAGTTTATGCTCAGTTACTGCTCTATTACTCCTTCTAATTCCACTTTAAATAACTTTTAAAAAGTTAATATCCATATTACCTTCAGTCTCGTGCCAGCCCTATTCCCTGCTCAACACACACTTCTCTAATTACACACAGAAATCATAATTGCGTGATTCATCAAATGAACAAATCCACAAGGGCCGTGAAGAGGATTCGAACCTGCGCCCGAGAGCATCCCAGACGCTGCCTTAATCGACTGAGCTACGACATGGTCAAAAGGAGATGAAACCGAAGTTCTACTGAGCTTACTGGATCCTGCAGCCTCTCCGAAGCTCTTCTCCTCCACAAGCCCCAACATCTCCCTCTCCCTATCTTCTACACGCATCACCCCCCCCCCCCACAAGTCCCTCTAACAACTGCCCGTGTGCGGATTGCGTGTTACCACTATGAGTCAAAGTGGTCATTTCACTGTCATGGTCATTTTCAGTTTCTCTTAGTGGTATGTGGTGATAGGTGGCGGCGATGGTGGTGGTGGCTGTGGTGGTGGTGCACCTGTCCACGTCATCACTAGTCTCCAATCACCTTTTGTCATCTAGGAAAAGCAGCCAATGACCATGACAGTGGCATGAATGTCTTGACTTAGTGCAGACAACACGCTATCCGCTCCCGGCCAGTTGATGGTGTGTGGGGTGTGGATTGTGGAGGGGGGAGGTGTGTGGGGTGTGGAGGTGTGTGGGGTGTGGAGAGGTTATATGAGTAGTAGATATTCAAGAGAAATAGTATTGTTTGAGGGGCCCCGCTCCTGTGCCAGGTAGGTCCACTACGGGCTCACCATAGCCCGTGCTACATTGGAACTTTTGTCCCGAGTAGCTAAACCTAAAACAACGTATTGTTTGAGACTTTGCGCTCAGACTATTCTCGAGGGAATAGTCCTACACTGTCACTCAGGTCTAAGTTGCAAGTAACTATGTCACGATCAACTAGGATCATCCCAGTGATCCCGGAATCACCCAAATGATCTCGTTTGCTTCTCCAAGCCAGGAAGTGCGAAGTTGACACTCCCGTATCCTCACCACAAGATATCTGACCTGGCTCGATGTGAAGAGATAACATGGAAAACTGCTTTGTTCTATATGATCAATGTACAGTAAAGTTAATAAAAGGCAGACGTAGGGTATATCTTGAGGTTATCTTGAGATGATTTCGGGGCTTTAGTGTCCCCGCGGCCCGGTCCTCGACCAGGCCTCCACCCCCAGGAAGCAGCCCGTGACAGCTGATTAACACCCAGGTACCTATTTTACTGCTAGGTAACAGGGACATAGGGTGAAAGAAACTCTGCCCATTGCTTCTCGCCGGTGCCCGGGATCGAACCCGGGACCACAGGATCGCAAGTCCGCTTGGTCGACCGGCTCCCTATCACAAAGTACCAACGTAATAAAAATGAACATTAGAGTTCCCGAAAATTGCTTATTGCAATAAATCCGCCTCAATGCAACATGATGTCCCCAAAGTCAAAATACCATGACAGCAAGATATCAAAGCCTCTTAAACCACTACCGGGTTGCCATAACCCAATACAAAGACACTACAAAGTCCACTAAAGTTACAATATATTGTATTTATATACAAGAAGGTACACAGGGTTTGTGAGAGTAGATAACATTGGTGTTCTGACATCCGAGCAAAAGCAGATAACAAAACCTACTTTGTAACCGCTGCAATTTGGGCTTTTAGTCTTTAATGACTCGTTACACAGAAAGAGAAAAAAAACACTTTTTAATATGTTTCATATTCAGGTCCAATCAAAGCTATTGTAAATATAAATAGTGTGTGGAAGCGAGTCTACATGACGCTACGGATAATCAAGTATCGTAGAAACTACAGTATCTCGCTTTTGTCTTACAAAAATCAAAATGTCTATTCAGGTAAAAATACATACATAGAAGATGAGTTACAAATATAATGTTAGATTTATAGATAGACACCTTCTTTATAGAATGTCTCCAAAAAGAATATGTCTATAATAGAAATATGTCTATAAAGAATATATCTATTCTTTATTACACCTTCTTTATTTATAGATAGACACCTTCAGGCTAGTTCTCATATACCTTGAGAACTTCTCCATCCTCCAGTTAAGACGGAAGATGGAGATGTAACGGCAATAGGCTAAAACTATGGCCATCTGCACATCACACAGTTCAGTATGTCGTGAGTGGCAGCGATAGGGGACTGTTGTGGTTGGCCTTTGCAAGAGATTGAGGCTTGTGAAGGTAGCTGTAACGGTAGAGGGGGGGCGGGTTGCTTGTAACGTGGAGAGGGGGGGGGCGGGTTGCTTGTAACGGCTGAGTGACGATTTTGAGTCACATCACCGTGATTATTACCAAGAAAAAACAATGTGTAGAGTCACTCACTAGGGCGAGGCGGCAAGCCCAGGCAGGGCCCTCAGGACGCCCACCAGACACGGCCACTCAGATCTCTGATAAGTCAAGAATGCCAATCCGAAAAAAAGGGGGGAATAGCCAGTCCAAATGAGCGTGAAATAGAGCCTCAGAGATATGCTTCGAGCGGGGGAGGGCAGGATGGAGGGTTAGGATGGTGGGACGGGATGGAGGGTGAGGATAGTGGTACGGGACGGTGGGACCGGATGATGGAACGGGATGGAGGGTCTGGATAGTGAGACAGGATGGAGAGGACTGAATGGGGAAGCAGGATAGTCAGAAAGGATGGTGTTCCAGGACGGTAGGTGAGAGTATAAGCGCAGGATGGACGGCAGGACGGTGAAGCAGAATAATAGGGTAGCAGGATGGACAGGCTGTCCTACCCCCACCGTCCTGCCGGTGGGATAGTAGGATGGACGTGCAGGATGGTGTGAGCGTCGAGGTTAGACGGGACCACAGGCTGACCTACCTGTGGGGAGACGGACGGAAACGCCAAGTTCCTTCTCTATCTCTTTCTCCTCACTGCAGGGTAGTAGAGAGGTGTTCCCCCCCTCGCCCCTACCGCATGTTCCACCTGCCCCACACACACACACAAAAGGTATCCACGGGTTATTATATCACACGAACGCTGCGTCGCCTTCAGGAAGGCATAATCCAGGCCGGACGAGTCGCCGCACACACCCGCTCTCACCGGTGGCTATGACCCCACTGGAATCCTGAGGCGCTTGAGACCAGACCTCCAGGCTATCTCCTTGCCAGATGCCACCGTAACTTATAACACATATAAAATAGTTTTTGCCCATTCCTGCTTTACTAGTGCTTGCCAAACATCCACCTTACATATAGCAAGATATTATAAAATGTAACTATTGTTTATATGGGGTTATAATTGTCTGAAAGCTTGAAAGAAAAGAAAAATGGTATTGAGAACACGGTACTCTACTCCTCCCACCTCTCCCAAGCAAGCCCATCTGATTCAGCTGCTGATTGTCTGTTATAAACATTTTATAAACAAACAACAAACAATATTACAAGCTAATCTACGGACAGGTCATCTGCACCAACACTATAATTGAATATATTTCATATCCAAGAACATTTCACGCTGAAGTTTGTGTGATAAAACTGGAAAACAGTGAAGGTGGCGGTGTGTGGCGCCCGAGTTGCGGCGGGGTAGGAGAAGGAAGTTCAAGACACCGCTCCTACTCCATTCATTCCTAACCTTACACCATTAACAAGAATCTCAAGCACCAGCAGGCGCAGGTTAGGTTAGGCATTTAGGGTCTGTTGGAGATTATTTGTATTTACGTGGGCAACCCGTCCTCAGACCAAGTCCATTCCATCCAGCAGTCGCAGCTCGTCCTCATTAACGATGACCCAAAGTCCATTCCATGCATCCGCCAAACCCCCTGTTTATGAATGAAAAACGGTGTACACACGACTCATAACTGATGCTTCGCTGACTTCCCTGACGACTTTTGTTCGAACCACAACGCTGTAAATGCTTAAGAACATAAGAACAAACGTGACTGCAGAAGGCCTATTGGCCCATACGAGGCAGCTCCTATTTATAACCACGCAATCCCACTCATATACATGTCCAACCCGCGCTTGAAACAATCTTCATCCACGTACAACAAATACAAATAATCGCCAACAAAACCTAAACACTTAACCTAACCAGTGCTAATATATGCACAATATGATATATAAATATTAATTTATATCTGAGATAAGTTCTGTTTTGAATGAATCTACGATACACTGTGGGTATCTACGATACACTGTGGGTATCTACGATACACTGTGGGTATCTACGATACACTGTGGGTATCTACGATACACTGTGGGTATCTACAATACACTGTGGGTATCTACAATATACTGTGGGTATCTACGATACACTGTGGGTATCTACAATATACTGTGGGTATCTACGATACACTGTGGGTATCTACAATACACTGTAGATTGGGACAAGACTAACTTCACCTTGGCATTCAGAGGTCATTATCAAGATATCCGCTTGTTACAATGTCCTTTCATTATATTATAATTTCTATGGAGCGTTTGTTGTATAATACCAATAAGTGGTCTTACTAAGGTCTACAAGGCTGAAGTGTTTATCTGGCGGGAGAGAGAGAAGAGGAAATTGGAAAGTATATCGTAAAAAGAACTGACCTTGGAACATGACACTGGCTAACTTGTAAACTTTATTTCAGTTACCCCTTTTATAGAAAGTTTATTTTAGTTACCCCTTTTAAAGAAAGTTTATTTTAGTTATCCCTTTGTAAAGAACCTTTATTATAGTTACCCCTTTTAAAGAAAGTTTATTTTAGTTATCCCTTTGTAAGGAACCTTTATTTTAGTTACCCCTTTTAAAGAAAGTTTATTTTAGTTATCCCTTTGTAAAGAACCTTTATTATAGTTACCCCTTTTAAAGAAAGTTTATTTTAGTTATCCCTTTGTAAAGAACCTTTATTATAGTTACCCCTTTTAAAGAAACTTTATTATAGTAACCCCGTTTAAAGAAATTTTATTTTAGTTACCCATTTAAAAGACGTCTTTTTTTAAATAGAGAAAACGTAATCGGAAAAATATACAAGTATATAAGCACTAGAAATGATGTTAGAAAACTTTCACACAAACGTCATGTTCTAATAATTATTCATTAATTATTTAATAATTAATTAATTAATACTATTAATAGGTAGAATTTTGAGGGTTCAGTCCTTGAGCCCATTATGTGCCTATGTAACCCTTTCCTCTACCGCCCACAAGATGGGTATTGGGTGCATAATAAAAGTACTAAACTACTAAGGTAGAGTTGCCATACTATTAAGGTAGGGTTGCCATACTATTAAGGTACGATTGCCATACTATTAAGTATATTCCCCATGCCCATACTATGGTCATGGGGACCACTATCGCTCACAGGATTAGCATATGCATAATAAATGAACTATCTTGTAGTTTTGTAGAAGTCAACACAAAACTGTTATAATGACATAAATGTCTTACCCAAACTAATAACCAGATCAACTAAGTATGTACTAGTGATGCCCAAATATCGCGATAAAAAAGGTGACTGATGAACAGTACTGTAGAGGACTGAGTAGCATATGTACAGCGTCTCAAGACAGGGAGCAGACTGACTCAAGGAACTCCACTACAGCACACCGACCCAACAGTTATCAACAGCAAAATTTATCCAAAATTATCATCATGTAAATCCCTCTAAACTTTGGTTATTGTGAGAGTCTGCATTCAAGCACACATCGAATTAATGTAGTTAATAATTGGAGGAGGAAATAATAAGGAATAATAGTTATTTTGAGGAATGTTTAGGCTTGTTTTGTGACTGTGGCAGCGGGGACCGGCGGTAGCCTCATGCGTCAGTGCTGGCAACAATCCTGCTTATGATGCCCTGTACTGAAAAGGTATTGAAATAGTATACATATTTCTATAAAATAATATAGAAAATATGTACATATTTTCACGCTATACCGAAAACTTTCTCCCTACACCAGCTATATGGGCTTAGAGAGTGCAGCTTCATAAAAACTCAAGGTATAATATGTTTGTATAATATACTCCTATATATCGACATATAATATACACTATCAACCATTAGTTATATTTAAAAGACTGAAAAAGATAACTCAATTAAAACAAATCTGTCCATATAGAAAGAAACCTGTCGGGAAAAAACTGTGATTACATTTATAAAATTTGTAGAAGAGCGTTTCTCAGTGTGTGCTGCTGGGATTGTCTGCTTTCCGGGATGTGTGTCAGCTATCAGCCAACAGCACCGCAGAAGTAGGTGGTCTGCTGCCCTCCTACCCACCAGGTCTGCTGCCCATCCACCATCACCACCTGTGGCTCACTCCATACACAGTTTCAAGTGTAGATATGATAGAGCCCAGTAGGCTCAGGAACCTGTTACACCGATTGACAGTTGAGAGGCGGGACCAAAGAGCCAGAGCTCAACCCCCGCAAGCACAACTAAGTGAGTACATGTGTATGTTTATCATTTAGAATGTTCGGTAATATATTGTGATGTGTGTGTATATATGTATGAACACGTTGTCCTGAACGGGGTGAGAATAGCTTGAGCTGCCTCATCCCTTTGTGTGTATTTTACCTTAATAAACTTATTTCAATTAAATTGGCAATGATTTAACAAATCTTGTATTTTTTCTTCGTTCTATGCAGTAGGTGTCGATACGTATTTTGCATTTCATAATGTGAGGAATATTATTATTTTAAAATACAGTAAAATAACGTTTGTATGTGGATAAAATTTGGACGTTTGAGTGCGGGTTGGAGCAGTTAAACTATCTATCCATTTAGTTCAGTTGTAATGTGCGTAAACGCAATGGAATTATCTCTATAAAAACGCTGATTTTCATATTTTTATATTGAAAATAATTTGTTCGTATATATTTCAATGAAACATATTAACATATTTTTTAATACAGTTTTATGATTCCTGGAAGATTTTGTATCTCATTTGGTACCTTGTGTTCGGGTTCCTGTTCTCTTCACATAGCTTCATTACTTTGCACTTATGTTAGTTAAATTCCAGTCACTTGTTAGACCATTATTTTAATTTCAGAATGGCCACTTTCAGACCATTCCTCCTCATAATATGTGCAACACCAAACATTGTGTATACTTACCTAGTTGTGCTTGCGGGGGTTGAGCCCTGCTCTTTCGGCCCGCCTTCAATCAACTGTTATAAACTTTTTCGTTCTTCTTCTTTCAAACACACACACACCAGGAAGCAGACCGTAACAGCTGTCTAACTTCCAGGTACCTATTTACTACTAGGTAACAGACGCATCAGGGTGAAAGAAATTCTGCCCATTGTTTCTCGCCGGCGCCGGGAATCGAACCCCGGTCCACATGACTACGTATCAAGCGTGCTGTCCACTCAGCCACCGGCCGGCCCCACGTGTGTGCGCGTGCGTGAGAACAAAGTCTCTCTGCGAGGCTTGTAAAAAATAAACGCGCCTTTGGCTCTTTTAATCATCACGGCATTTATCTGGAGTAATGAAAACGGCAGACCGACCGACTTGGGGAGAGACACATTTGTTTTCCCTGCACCTTACCTGTCATGCGCACGATGAGCGCACGAGACTGACTGGTAAACTTGTTGGACAGGCCGCTCCCCGGCACCAGGGCCGCATAAGCTGGGGTGTTGAGCCCTCACCCCCAACCTGGCTATCATCTGAGTGTCATACTCCACACCGCTGCTAGCTACCCCCACCACGCTCATTTATTTACACGTAGTTTGCCAATTCATTGATCTAATTCTGACATATTGGTGTATATATAATGATAGGTAATATTATCGTTGGTTTGGGGTAAGAGACGGCGGGGTCGTGGGAGTGGGTGAGTGTCAGGGAATCTGTCTTTACCTCCGGATGAGCGGTGGTGAGTTGTGGCAGCACCGCTGCTCAAGTCACTCATCCACATCATTCACTCATCAGACGAGAGCAGCGTTACTGTGTGGTATACGTAGTGGTATATTCTTTGTATTTTGTTATACCGCGGTATAACTAGATGGGAGAGGAGGGAGAAGCAGCACAAGGAAGGAATAGTATCAGGGAGGAGGTAGATGAGAGGGGGAGAGAAGAGGCGGGGCCAGTGCCAGCCAGAGTGCCCGTCAACACCCCCTTG